CAGTGTAAAAAAGATTAGTTTAAAGTCAGGTCTGTGGTAGTAAATCTACCAATTTAAGTGAACTCTATGAATTCTGCCAGGAAGACTGATCAAATATTAAGCCAGAAGCTGATGGTTACCAAAAGGGCCTGGTCGTGGTTCAGCTTACTGTGGGACATTAGTGGGTTTGTATTGTATACAAACGTCTGACTAAGTTCTTCCAGCCTGAACCATGAGTGATCATGAATGTGTCTGGGTATAGTGTAGTCAGATGGTGTCTGGCTACAATTGTGTCTTATATGAAAATCAGATAACATATTAGCATTAACTGATACAAAAATCAAGGTTCACAACCTTTTATAACAACTGTACTTGGGTATTAATGTGGGTATCTTTTCTTTGCAGGACGACATCAAAAAACTGTGTTTATCTACACTAAAGATAACTTGGCCTCAAGAAGCACTTGTTTCAGGGACCTTGCAGCATATGGTACAGTATACACACACACTTTGACACACATTAGCCCAACAACTCACTGAAGCATGAGAAATAATATAATATTAAATGCTCTGTCATTATATTTCTGCCACCTTCTTTCCTTAGAGACGCTTGCACCCATATAAAGAGATAAATACAAAAAAAGTCATCTTTATTGATTCTCAATTTTTCTTGCTTCTGTAGATCTTATTTTGGATGGCAGGTTATTTTCTTTAATGTTTCCTCTCAGTGTGGTTTTTATAAATGCAGGGGAAGGAAAATCAATAACTTTTCTGTGTGAGCAGCGGGAGCTGTCCACCAAGCTGGTGCTGAACGCTGTGAGCACTGGAGCTCATGTCTTAAAGGGGAAGATATACCAGAACCACATGATTGACCTGCAGGTCACCAACACTAAACTGTACCGCAGGGCCACGCGTTTACTCCAGGTACTGTGATGTAAAATGCTAACAAAGTTTAAACACTGCATTACAGGGTGTACTGTTTGTGCTCCGTCCTTTTCATGATTACTGACTACAATTTTCACACTATGCCCTTTTTTTTAGTAACCAATAAACAACATGATGGGAACCCACAGGGCAAAGTGTTTTTGTTTTTTTAAATAAGTCCATCTTCTTACTTTTCTTTCTGTTTACGTGCAGCACATTCAGCAAAGAAGACTATAACTTACTATAACTTAGAGGTAAATTAAGGCTTAATCATTCTATTTTCAGAAGCTTTCTGCATGTCCAGAGGAAAAATGTGAGGAAGCTCTTTTAAAGGCAATCTACCGAGTAGACATGCTGACACTGGAGATGACATCCTCTGACATCACCACACACACGTGCTTTGCCAGAAACAGCACCAAGGTAAAGAGGTGATGTGCATGTTGCTGACAGATCCATACCAGAAACCCGATTTTAAAAAAGGTTTCTTCTTGTCATTACCTCTTTCAGTTATAGGTAAGTGCTTTAAAAAGCTTTACAAACATATGTTGAAACACATTTTAGAATTTAAAAACAACCGTTTTTTAAAATAATATTATTTCGACACATTAGCCTATAGCTGTGAAAACTACTATATTGCTGTTCATTGGTTCTGTGTAAGAGGTTGGAGGTTTTTATCAAAGTTCTTATAATCAAGAGGGTCTCAGGCTGTGATAGTTTTCTCTTGGGATTACATCACATTCACTTTTACTCATTTTACTCCATTTCAGAGGGGAAGTGCCAACTGCTGTGGCACTCCTCGTCTCTTTGCTTGATTTTGCTCGTCGTCAGATTGTCCATTGATCCAAAGATGCTTGTGACATAGAAAGAATCATGTTTAGAAGTTAACTTTGGTCTTCTTCCCCTCACCCCCAACCAGTCACAGCTGATTGCCGCCCTTTCCTGTGTCTGGTTCTGCTGGAAGTTTCTTCCTGTTAAAAGGGAGTTTTTCCTTCCCACTGTCGCTGAGCGCTTGCTAGTAGGGGTTTGTCTCACTGTTGTTGTTTTGTTGTGATTTTGCAGTATATAAATAAAAGTGAATTAAATTGAATAAATTACTTTATGTAGAATGACCCACATGGTTGAAGAAAAATCTGGTTTCTGGTACGGAAATCACATAAAGAGCTGAATAACTGAAGAGAGAGGAACTAAACGGCTGTATCATGTTGTCTCCCTCTTTTTAAGGTGGTCCCTCTGGCTTTGGTCATTTTACTTACCGGTTGGTCACTCGTGGAGGCGGAGTCACATTTGAAGCAGCAGCCAATTGTTAGGGAAGCCGTGGCTCAGTGGATGTGGTAACGGAGGCCGTTAAGTTAAAATCTTACATACAAAACACAGATTTGAGCACTTTTATCTCACTCTTAAATGAACATACTTCTGTTTTAATTTAATGTGATTGAAATAAAATAAGTAAATTTAAAAAAGTGTGTTTTCTAAGATAATGAAAGTTTTAGCCTTTTTGACTCAAATTCACTAAACTATGTTAGAAAGCCTGACACTCTATGTTCTGTAAGTGTTTTCTGGAGTTTAAAGGCTCAGCAGGATCTGTCCGTGTGATGTAAGTCAATCTCAATCCCTCTTTTGCTCAACTTACTCACAGGTCGGGGATTAGCGTGGTTTATGTGTGAGTATCTTGAGAGAGAGGTTGAACAGCTTTGGAACTCCACTGGAGGAGAGCCAAACACAGCGGCGAAGCCCAGAGAGAAGGAGGTCCCAAGAAGATGAAGTGCACATCAGGTCTGGATCAGAAAGCGTTAGGACACAATTCTCAGCATTTCTGTTTGCCACCTATAAAATCACAGTGATTTTACTTCATAAACCATTTATTACTTACACTGCTGGCTGTTTGATTTTGTAGCATGATGTTAACAAGTGCAGTAATAAATGGAAGTAAAGGGCCTGAGATCATTGCACTTTATTATGTGTAAGACTAAAGCCGGGAAGTGATTAGCGTAGCTTAATAACCTGAAAGTAGAAGGACACATCTTGCTCTCTCTCATTTCTTGGGTTTCGATCTATACACAGAAACAAATTTGTTCCACAATCAAAGTGTCTAATTGTCTCTAAACCGCTACTAGTGGAAGTTCCTTTCACCTGTAGCTTTTGAGTTTATAGCCATGCTAGCTGTTTCTTTCTGGTTAGATGCCATGCTAACCTAAGCTAATCACCATGTAACTAGACTTATTAATGTAAGTTTGCGTTTCAGTACTCTAAAGCTGGGCATGTTAGCATGGTGGTCTGTGGGTATAACTCACTTTTGGAGCAACCTCAAGTGGCCATTAGAGGAACTGACATTTTTAGACATTTCACTGCATTTAACAATCATTTACAGATGAGGACAGAATTATTAAACAAATCAGGGCCTTGTCCTGGCCAGTCAGTCACATTCACTTAGGTCTTCTGGGGCAGTTTTTCACACACACCGCAAGATCTGATATCTCCGTGCTGGCGTTGTCCCAACATCATAATAACGTTAGTCCCAGATCAACATCGCAACTAACCAATATGTCTGAGCATTCAATTATCTTTAGTCAAGAAGTTAACTAATGCTATTAAAAAGTATCATTAGCAAACCTAAGGCTAAGAGGAAACCAAACTTGATAATATATTCATTATATCAATAAAATTAATAAAGAAAACACTTCAAATTCTTACCATTTGTCTGACAAGAAAGTTTTATATAAAGAAGGGTATTTTTCTTCTTTTTTTATCCACATTGCGAAGCTATGACAACATGATTGCTTAGTTGCAATGTTGATCCTGGAACGAGGTTAACACACCAAAACAGGCATGTTAGATACACTGTTCTTCACCAGAAGCAACATATGTTTTGGGTTATGGTCATGTTGGAAAATAAAGTGATGACCCAAACACAGTTTTGCTGCTGACTGCTTGAGGTTTTCTTTAAAAATCTTCACATATCCTTTCTCCTTCATGATTCCTTCCACCTTGACAAGATTCCCAGTTCCAGACACACTGAAGGATCCCAACATCATAATACTCTCACCACCGTGTTTCACTGTGGGGATTGCGGTGTTATTGGGTTATACAGCATGAAACTACTAAGTGCCTGCCGGACACGTGGCAATTGGTTGATCAAATGAACGCTGGTATTTTCTGGAGAGAAGAGCGGAAACTTGTCAGTGTGGACATCGCACTCCTAGGCTCCACTCAACAAGAACTTACGAGAGGCAGCGAAGACCGGATTATGAATAAGCGCCAAGAAGATAGGTACTTCGTGTGGGTTATGCTTACATTTGAGTACCAGAGTACAAGTTGACGAAGTTGAGAATTTCTGCTACCTAGGTAGCATTATCTCAAACGACGATGTCTCCGATCGAGATGTCTGTTCCAGGATTGGCATGGTGTCTGGAGTTACAGCACATCTGGAACTCAACTTTACTGAACACGCCGATCAAGATTCATCTGTTCAACTCCATTGTTATCCCAATCACCCTCTACGTTAGCGAGACATGGCAATCAACAAATGCAACAATCCGTCAGCTGAACGTGCTCCAACAACGTGGCCTCCGGCAAATTCTGGGACCGGATAATGAACAAAGAGGTGCTACACAGAGCAGGCATGCTTCCCCTAGCCGATATTGTTGCTCAATGTTGATTTCGGTTTGCAGCAAAATTCCTTTGCCTACTCCTTCACCGGCTAGCCAAAGTCGCCATGACATGGTTTCCACATAGAGGGAAACGCAAAAGAGGAGGTCCTAAGACCACCTGGTGTCGGACCATAATAGATGATCTGGAGCATGCCAGCGTTAACTTGGATGAAGCCGAAGCAATAGCAGCTGATCAACAACAATGGACATCAATAGCTGGCCGATGCGCTGCATGGTGTAGGAGAAACTAAAGACTAAAGAAAAGACCACTCTCCAATCTTTCTTTAAACATAATCAATGTTTCTATGACCAAAGAGCTCTAGTTTCATTTCATCTGACTAATAGACGTACTTCCACGATACAAGCTTGCATAACTGACTTGGAGTTTCAGCTCCATCAAACACTGCTGAGTTACAGAAATGTGTCCAGATTATTATAGAACATTTGGAGAATTACCATTCAGTGCATTTATTTTATTTCTGTCAGTATCATTACATTCATATAATCATTTGCTCTAAGTACATGATGTTCACTTTGTGATGCTTAAGATTAGTGGACGGACAGACAGACCAGTAACAGCATAGGCACACACACCTTCTTGGTACCACAAAATAGGAGGCTTTTGTCAAACTAAGCAGTAAGAGATAAGCGCCTCATTCTCACTGTCCTGAGCACACACTGACCGTGTGCAGTGTCCCTGCTCTAATATACAGTTGAAGAGTAAGCCTGAAGCCTTTAACAGCAGCTTTGACTCATTCCAGCTTGTTTAACAGGCTTTGTGAGTCTAATGGAGAGCCACTAACTTAAGTGTGATCTCCTCCTCTGTTTGTGTCGATCATCCTCTATGTAACCATGGATACAATAAGGCATCAGTAACACGCTTCACGCTGTTGTTCCACATGGCTGGTGTGCAAACTCCGCCAGTATCTACAGCATGTAACACACCTAAGGAGACTCCTTTACCAAAGCAGCAGAGAAAGGTTTACATCAACCTTAAAGTCAGGCTGTCGTCTCCTAAAATTTCCTGCAGCTACATGCTGCACACTGCTTCTCCTGGGACAAAAAGCATTTACGGTATGATCACAGTAATAGGATTACATAAATACAGTGAGGTACAGCACAGTTAAAACACATTCTTACTGTCAAGAATTCAAAGATAATACATTGTTATTAAAGTACAGTATGTATTATTTGAAGGTACGTGAAAATAGAATACTTTGACATTTTGAAAAATACAGCTGTTTACTTTCTTGCTAAGAATTGACTAAGAAAACATTTATGTATGCAAGCTAAATGCTAAATGAATACAAAGTTGGGAGTTAATGAGCTTTATTTAACTTAACACTGGAAGAAAAAGGAAACTGTGAGCTAGCTTTGTTTAGAGGACAATAAAAATGACATTAGTTTATTAGACACTCTAAAGGTCAGTAATTAGCTATGCTAAGCTAAGCTAATTCTAGCTTTTAAGTGTGTACGCTTGATAGTGCTGATAAGTCTTCACACTAGCTCAGCAAGAAAGCAAACAAGCCTATTTTTAAAAAAAAAAAGATTCTAATGTAATCACATTACAGACTTGTATAGGTTTAAACAATTGATTTAACAGGTTAAAGATTTAAACAAGTAGTTAAGATAATAGGTAAGCTAGGAAATTACCTTTTTTTAAATCTCCATGACGATAACATTTTATGACTTCCTTTGTACACTTAATGACAAGTTTTGACAACTAAATATATATATAATGAAGACATGGTTTGAAGAGCAGTAGAGTAGAATAGTTTGGGGTTTTTCCGTAGCTGCAGCGGCAGAGACCACCCTCACTAACTTCTGATGCACACCCAGTCACTTTGTTTTATAAGCAGGGTGAAATATGACAAAAAACCCACAGTTCATAAAAGACCTTCAAGGATTACTTCTAGTATGTTTTTCAGGGTAAAAAAAATCAAAGCAAGCTGGGTGACCAAAACCCTGAGAATCCAGCATTGACTCAATGATACAGCTCCAAGAAATAATCGCAGAACTGAACCGATAACCCAATAAATACAACTGCCACGGCTGAGCTAACGTGTAGTAAATATAAAAAGCTATTCCATTCAATACAGCAATAAATCTGTCCACTGAGCACTAAACTGAGTTCTGATAAGTCGCCCATAGATACCAAGTGTTAGTTTTTCAAAAATATATTCTCATATGCCTTCTTACATACAGTTAACTTCAAAAATATACACAGATCCATTATAAACACAATAAATGTACGATAGACTGGTTTCAAGTTTCATTTTGCTTTTGTAACATAAATTAGTTTTGTTCCTCCTAAACAAGATCTGGATTAATAAAGTGCTTCAAGTTTTTAAGTGAGTCTTTAAACCTATAAAAATGCCTATGTTGATCCAGTGTAGTCCCAGAAAGAGCAAATTATGTTTTTAAAACTATGTCACTAAGTTGGGGATTCACCTGGCGAATAGTCTTTGAAAGTGTCCTGAGGTGTATCCAAAAACTGTCCAGTTTGTCTTAATCCTCTTTCGGTTTGAGTTGCTTGACCTTGGCTGGTGACCGGCTCCTTCTCTTGCCATTGCTACCACCTGTGGATATGCTGTCAGCCGTTTTGGACACTTCAGTGGAGTCCACAGGATTTTGTGGGGACTCAGCGTCGATGTCCTCCAATGAGCCAGGCTGGGACTCCACTGAGGTTCTGGTGAACTGATGCAGAAGAGCACCATCCTCTCTTTTGCTTCCATTTGCCTTATCCTCTTCCTCTTCCTCTGGCTTGAACTCTTTAACAGCATCTTCCTCCTCATCTTTGTCTTCTCCACTTTCTTCCTTCTCCTCCGATCCTGATTTGTCAGCAGTGGTGTCGCTCGAACGTTTGCTATCTATGTCCGAGTCTTCCGCGTCTGCCTCCTCTCCCTCGGTCATGCAGGCAGCTGGAATCGCGTCCTGCCCCTGTAGGGTTAAATGAGATAACAATAAATGATTTCTGAGCATAAATGATTTCTGAGCAGTTTTAATTAGATGAATTGGGCATTAGAGTGCTGTAATTACATCTACAAGATGCTTACATAGTACCACCAAATTAATGTGTGAGATTAAAATGAGTTAATCAGTGCAGGGAGGTGCCCGTAAATAATATCACCAAACTGATCCTTAACCGGTTTCAGCTTCCGATGGAGGCAAAAATACACAGTTTAAAAGTATTTTTAACATGTTGAAGCTTTTTTTGTAACTGGCAAAAGCAGCATACGTCCATCAGCGGAAGCTTCATGTTGGTGCCAAACAAAACAGATTTGTTCAGGCTCTCTAATTGGATGGCGAGATTATCTTTTCCCACAGGCTTAGAATTAGTGGTGAGGATGCAATAGGTCAGATTCCTCTTTAAGGAACAGCGCAGTTTGTTGTTCAGGGACTCAGTGGTGTTTTGTATTCACTTTGTATTCTGTATTCACTTGTATTGGATTGATACAATAATTTGCGGTACTGCACGGCACTAAAGGGGAGTCAAAATTAAGCTGGAGAGTCAGTCTGATCATGTTTGTTGGCCTATCTGACATCTTTAATCAATGCGGTTAAACTTCCATGAGTGCAGTGCTGTTTTACTAACATGAAAGTGACTGTCCTTTAAAAGAAAAAAAGAAAACAATGCTATCCTTTGTGTTATATATAATAATTACTGAATAAACTTCAGTAAAAACATGGTTCACATTTACCTGTGGCGAGGTTCTTTCCTTTTCAGATGCCTCCCCTTCCTGTTCCTCACTCGATTCACCCTCTCCTGTGTCGTCTTCCTCGTCATCTTCACCCTCTGCTGACGCACTGTCCCTCTCTGCAACCTCCTTTGACAATGTCGACTTTTCATTTTCTGTCATTTCTGCAGCACTATCCTCCCCCTCTTCCACACTTTCACCCTCGGTGGGTTTTTCTTTATCGTCTACTCTCTCATCACTCTCTTCATTTTCTGGGGTTTCTCCTTTGCCCACTGACGCCTCTTTTACTGTGTCTTGGTCGCTTGTCTCCTCTTCTTCGCCAGTTCCTGTGTCTCCCTCATTTTCCTCTGTTTCATCTTCTCCCATGTCTTCTTCATCCTCTCCTGTTTGCTCCTCTCCATCCTCCTCTTGGTCACTCTCATCCTCGTTTCTGGTACACTTACACTGATGTTCTTCATCCTCCCCTCCAGTTTCTGATGTCTCATCTTCTCTCACTTCTTCACCACTTGTTCCTTCTTCTTCCTCCTCCTCTTTGCTTGCATCACTTTCCTCATTTTCCTCCTGTTCATCTTCTGTCTCCTCTTCTTCCCTTGCTTTACCGTCATTGTTTTCTTTTTCAGCCTCTTCATCTTCCTCTGCAATCGTCTCCTCTAAAACAACAACAGCTCTGATGTCCTCTTTGGTTTCCTCGTCTTCCTCTTCCTCCTGGACTACGTCTAAATTCCTCCCATCGTCGTCTACAGCCGCCTGGCTTTCGTCTTCCACTGCCGCAGGCTGCGGCACGGTTGCAGGGGCTGGGCTTTTCTTCAGCTGAAGTATCTTAAGTAGGTCAAAGTCCTTCATCACCGGTGCTTCAGCCGCTAGCGGGTTGATTTTGAAAGGCCGTGCAGCCATTTTCTTGCGAACACAAGCTTCGCATGGACAGTATTCGTCGTCACTTCGCTGGTCGCTGAACTCCCCCGTCATCTCTCCGTCGCTGAGGGACTCGCTGGTCTTCACCGACTGTTTCTTCATAATCTAAAAAGACAAACAAACAAACAAAAATTAAATCCAACAATTTATGTCATCCAAGCAGTATCCTCTGCTATGAAGACAGTTTGTGGTAGATTTACCTTCAACATCTGACGTCTCTTCTCTGTTGTAGTGGACTCTCTGGAGAGATGTGTTCCTTGTGGCGGCCGAGGTGACCTACCACCTCTCCCCGCTCGACCCTGAATCTTCCTCATTTCACGTTCAATACTGCCCTGGATGCGTCGGCTCACCTCATCCCTCAGCTCGCATATCATGGTGTCCAGGATGTGACTGTCATCTAGATCCCATCGAACTTTGAACTCTGCCACTGCATTAATGTAGTGGACCATAAACTGTTTTTCAAGCTTCTTCAGAAGGTGAAGTACCCACACTGGGTCAGGGTCTTGGGATGGTCTTTTGGCCAAAGATGCTCGAAGAACAGTTGGGGGTGTGCCTGTACTAGAGTCTTCCAATGTCTCGTGCTCATTATCGGTGGGAGATTTGGAACTGTCTTTGGCAGAGGTCTTGTCTGATGACTCTGAGGGTTTGGAGCTTTCGCTTTTTTGAGGAGCTTCTTCACTTTGCACTGGTTCCTCTGCTGTGTCTGCCTTAGCTTGGTCTGTGAATGTTTCCTTGTGTTCTGTCTCAATATCTGTATCTCCTGCCATTTCATTTCCCTCTTCCTCCTCTTCTACAATGTTCTCTGCTACCTCGTGTGCTTGTAGAGATTCTCTCTCTTTTGGAGGTGTCTCATCTTCTCCTTGATTGCCATTTTCCTTCCCTGAACCTGCAGAGCCACTGCTCATATCCACCCCAGATGAGGACCTTGGTGGTGTCACCTGCTCTGGGCTACTGTTCTTGTTCTCCTTTGTCTCCTTGGCTTGGATGTTCCCAGGCTCAGTGAGCCACAGGGAATGAAGGATAGCCATTATGTCTTCATACTGCTGGCTGCGACCCTTCTGTACATCACAGCCAGGGCCCAATGAAGGCTCAATGAGCTGGAGCTGGGCCAAACAGTCCAAAAGACC